TTGTGAGGTAAAAATATCTCGGGACAAATTCAGTCTGACATTAAGATAATAACACAAAGTACGCACAAAAAGTACACATACCATAAATTTTTACTGCGTTGTTAATGTGAAGGGTCAACTTGAGATCTATATGTTTTTATTTAGTTAAGAACCCCTTTAGTAGAGGCCCTAGATTGCTTTTGCTTAGTTAATAATGGAACAATGGTTTATTACGGGTAAAAAAGCATTGCTTAACAACTCCCGTGGGATGGAAATTATTGCGAAAAGTAACGCTTGATAAAGTGAAAAGCGTTTTGGTGGACTCACCATAGAGTTGTGTAGAATAGCAGAGATGTCCACATATTAAACGTATTAATCCATACATCCATCGGTTTGGAGTTTGGGAAGACACCGTTTGATCGCGTTATATAGCTCCTGGCTAAAAAGCCATAAAATTAAATGTGAGACAAGGCATCGTCAACTCGTTTTTTTAATATCGCCAGCTTGGGAGCAGAGACGACATAATTAGGGAGGGCGTTCCTAGGCTGGCCGATGCCAAAGGAAAAGAAATTCCTACGGCATTCAAGCCGGCTATACTGAATTGTCAGTTTCAGAGGGTGACCTCTTAGGTTTGTGTTGTGGTTCAATTCCAGCAACTGACAGCAAATATGGTTTGGGTTCTTCAGAATTCGGTAAACCATTAAGAGATCCCCCACAAAAACCGATATCGACTGCTGTACATTCTTAGAGATTTCAGTCTAAGCTGATAGGGCACATGAAAGAGGCCCCTGACATTCTTGGTTGCTCTTCGTTGAGGAGTCTCGAGAGCAACAAGATCCTGTTTCTGCCACGGCTGCCACACCTGAACAGCATATTCCATTTGCGGTCGCACTTAGGACTTAAACATTTGGAGAAAGATTGAGGGTTCAAACCGACCAAAAGCTCTGCGAAGAAGATCGAAGTGTTGGTTGCCGGTTCTCGTCACCTTCTCTGCTTGTTTTGAAGACCCGAGATCTTCCTGTACTGATACACCCAGGTCACGATCCTGAGAGACCTTCTCCAAGGTGTGGTCTCCAAGCTTGTGAGCGTTCACTGGCTGGTGACGCAGATGTATCACCTTGAATTTCGCTATATTCAGTTGAAATATGTTCCTCTTTGACCATTCGCAAATGCAATCTAGGTCTTGTTGGAGCAGATCCTGAGTTAGCTTGTTACTAATCACCCGCCATGTCTTGACGTCATCGGCGAAAAGCAGAAAATTTGAGGAGATACCTCTTGCCAGGTCGTTGATAAGCACGAGGAATAAGCGCGGTCCCAGCACTGAGCCTCCTGGGACACCACATTCCACTTCATTTGGGTTAGAGAGTGATCCCCTAACACGTAATTAAAGCTTCCGTTGGTGAAGGGAGCTGCCAATCCAACCAAGTACAGGATCTCCGATTTCGTAGCTCTGTAGCCGTTGAAATAGGATGCGGGGATCAAGGCGGTCGAAAACTTTGGGGAAGTCCAGATAGATGACGTCAACTCCGACCCCATCATTGGCCACTTCCGTCCAACTACCTCGTGCAATCAGTAGGTTGGTGGTGCATGACCGGTGTTGACGGAAGTCATGCTGCTTCGGTGCCAAGATGTTGTATTTTTCCAGGTCGTCCAGTAAAGCCTCAGCGACGACTGCTTCCATCACCTTTGCGAGCATATGGAGGAGAGTCACTGGGCGATAGTTTGCAGGATCTGCACGGCTACCGCCCTTAAAAATTGGGGTGATAATGCCACGCTTCCAAATAATGGGGACTTGTTGTTCATCAAAGCACCTTTGGAAGAACTGTGACAATGGTTCAACCAGCTTGTTGGTCGCAGCCTTCAGTGCTTTCGGGCGGAGATTGTCGGCTCCCGGAGAACTATGGTCGCGCAGTGATAGTAACTTCCTTAGCACAATTGGTGAGTTGAAAATTACATTTGTAAACAATGGTGTCGGTAATGTGCTTGATATTATGGGACAGGTGGATGTTGCAATACAAAAATTGGGGCGTATTGTAGCCGCAGGATATTAGCTGCTCCTTCGGCGCTTTGTACTCTACCGCCTGTCGTGAAAAGTGGAGGGATTCCATGCTTCATTTTACGAAGCTTATTGACATGCCTATATAGCAGTTTGTTGTTTGCCATGAATTGTTTGGCTGGACACTGTTGATAAGTTACTTTGTCCTCACGGACAAGTGCAGTGCAATGGTTGCGATGGGTCAGGAAATTGCCCCAAGTCTCTGAGTTGGGTTTAATCCTGTAAGCACGCCATGCTGCATCCCTTATCGCCAGGCATTTTCGAGTGCTGCTCCTTAGAATTGAAGGCATTTTCGCGAAACGAAAGAGCATGGTCTCTGGTACTCTGTTGACGATGTCGCTGAGTCTGTTAACGAACTCTGTCCAAACGTTATCAAGGGGACTGTTGTTTGAGAATTCCCAAGCAGCTGCGTCGGCGAGTTCTTTCAATACGTGGTAGCGTGGGATTGTATGAGTTAGTTCCGAGTGTTCAGATGGCTGCTCTGCATAACACACATAGTCAAAAGTTATTACTACATTGTCACTGAGACCTAATGGACTATCCATCAATAACTTGTCAACTACGAGCTCTTCATTCGTGAACACAAGATCCAATATGGACGGTTTGTTTGCTGTCCTGAATGCAGTGGGCGTGGTGACATAATTGTACAAGGGAATCTTAGCGATGAGTTCCTGCAAGTCTGCTTTGAACTGTTCACTGGGAGATGCCGAAACCTCCAGATCGTGTAAATTGAAGTCCCGCCGAGGTGCAAGGTTGGATGTACCTAGTGCGTGTTACTCTGTTCAGGACAAGTATCAAGCGGAAATCCATTTCCGGAGCAGACGTTGGGGTGCGGTAAGCTGGAGCTGCAAGACATGGGTCGCTGTGTCTCAGTCGGAGACGATAACAGTGTGAGGCGGTAACGTGTGTTTCCAGCTCATCAACTGTTGCGCCGTGCTGGTCACTGCGGTAGTAGAGAAGGACCCCACCTTCTCTGTTGAGTTGGTCCTTCAGGATGAGTACATTCCGGCTATCTCAACCTCAGCATAAGTCACCTCTTGGTGTAACTGAGTTTCGGTAATAGATATTAGGTCCCAAGCATTTGCAAACTGACGTAGCCGAAGTTCGTTAACTTTACTGAGGAGCCCTTGGACGTTAGTGAACATACATGAAAGTTTCTCAAATTTAATCAATGTTTCAGAGGTTGTACAACTCAGACGTGAAGTTTCGCCGACCAGTGAGTGGCCGGCGACTAATCGTTGTTTCGTTGTGTATTTGGAGAAGCGTTTAACGTCTTATTCATCGTCCGTATAATTAGTCCCGTGTCTAATCTTCGACGTACAGGGTAAGTTGTCTGGTCAAATCATCCTCAACAGGTTGTATGGACTCATTCGACATACCTCATTGGTTGTTGCCAGCATCTGATGCCAGTGAATTGTGAACCCATAGAATCCTTGAACTTTTTGTAATCCATATAATATCGTCTATGAAAAATACCAAAGCTTGAATGTATTATTTCAAGCGGAGGCCGCGGGCCAGTTGAAACGTTGACGCGTGCCGCATTTGGCCCGCTCGCCAGATTTTGGACATTTCTGGCCTAGATTCCTTGAAAATTATCTTGGTCGTTCATCACTGTGATGGTACCCGGATTCCGTAAGAGAACAAATGTTTCTATCGCAATCTTTGACGTACATGTTCGCCAGCATTTTTCTGAATAAAGGATCCATGATACTTCTACAAAAATGAGGAATAGATCAACGGATAGTAACTTTTCAGAGCAATCAAAATAAACTTCACAGTTTTCTGCGTTATGCAAACTCATGTTTCCCAAGCAAGTGAGGCACTGATATAACAGGACTAAAAATATCGAAGCCGGACAAGTTGCGTGCCATGGTGTGTGGACTGCACATGCTCAGAAAAATGTTGGGAAAGACATCTCCAACGAGGTGGATCACATAGCTGCAGATTCACCGTTCTTTAAAATAAACTAAAAACCGCCTACCTAGATTTCAATAGACTGGTGGGCACGGCGTTTTCGTTTTGTCGTCACCCAGTGAACGCGCATCATGGCAAGTAATGCAAATATTGTGATGTATCATCGAATAGTTTAAACACGAGTAGCGTGTGCCCAAATGTGGCACAAGCCAGAAGAGATTTCTATGACTGACAAATTCGGAGAAAAAAATTCCGGCACAATGTAACCCAATGTAGCCCATCAGCTGGTTGTCCGATGTGGTAACTGAGCCAGACTAGTTCTTTATCCATTTATTTGATGGTTCTAAACTAACGAAATCATGTCGGTGACATCTTAGGATTTGATACGAAAGGTGTTTTTACTTGATTTCACAAACAAAACTAGCGACAACATGCAATCTGCAACGGCGATAGTTTAGTTTCTTTCATTGCTTAAAATCAGTATTTCACTAAACTTCCTGCCGGAACACAAATTACCATAATACAACAGTCTATTTTCTCATGTTCCTAATACGGATGTACCGAAAAACACTCGGCTGCTTTTTATGGGACTATCGAACCTTCAGAATGCTGAGATGCTTTCTGTTTGCACAAATTTACCGGTAGCCATATAATTTCTGCTACTTACAGCTGTTTTTCTGACCAGTGTAGAAAGAAAAAGAAATCATGAAGGCGGGAATCGACAACTTGTATCATACATTGCAACTTTGATTGCTCCTGTCTGATTATCGGTGCTGTGTAATTATTCAAATTGGTGCATTCAAGAAATTCTTCGTAAACGTGCAACTTTACAGTTGGAAATGTCATGGCTGTCAAGTAGCACTGTTTGTTATCATAACTGGTGACTAGAGAACCTGTTTTTTATCACCACAGTGAAACCCTTGTACTAGCTCCCAAGTTTGCTTTTCCTAATGCCACAAGGGCTTCGTTGCAGCCTCGCTTTCGTCGGTTGTCATGAAAGGTGATGTATTTTTTAGGAACCTCAAAGTTAATTCACTTTCATTTTCCACAGGACTGTGATGGTGATACACCACTTCACGATGCGATCGCCGGGCAAGATGAACGTTTGGTCGAGCTGTTGTTAAAACACAACGCAGATTTGACGATAACAAACAACTCCGGTCAAAATCCTTTGCATTACGCGGTAATTCAAGGAGAGGCGAAGTAAGTCACTTCTTTTAGTTTACTTGCCGCGATATTCCGTTGCATGAGTGATACAGATCGCTGTCTATGTCCGCCTCCCACAAACCAATCTATACTTTCAAGTACAGCATTTCCCAGCATCAACTGGAACATAAAAAGCGAACAACCGTTTATTTTTGGGACCTTCACTCCGTACCACCCCTCGCAAATACTCGGCGCCAAGGCGGGGGTTAGGGAGAATTCTTTGTTCATAATTACAACTGATTGTTTTTCTGTCTCGTGGCTATGGTGACGGCTTCCGTGTTCAGTATTCATTGATGACAGATTGCAGAGACTAGGAATTATTCAATAAACCCCATGTAGACGGAACACTTTTTCCTCTTTCCACGGTGATGGAAGAGGCTTTTTGGAAACTTATATCTGAGGATGTTGCTTGTTCTTTACTTACCTCAACAACTTTACTTTGAACATAACGGAAAGTTACCGGTTCATAGGACTAAATTTTCATCACTTACTTTGAGAAGTTAGCGCCACAGAGGCTAAACACAAAGAGGATATCAGTGCTGAAAATAGTGTGTGGATTGTGTAAATAATTCATGCTTATTTCCACTGAATAGCGATTCAAGTTGAAATTTCTGTGCGATATAAGTGGACTACGTTTTGTCGATTCGTCCGGTTCGCGAATCTGTTCACCTTAGCGGTTGGTAACAAGGGCTCCGCACCTTACAATTCATGGCTCGAAGGCCACGCACATCTACACATCTTCTCTTATAAAGCACCAGTTGTTACCGGCCACGGAAACTCTTGCGGTCTTCGTGCTGGTATACTTTTCAGTTGAGACACGTCACTGGATATCTTGCGCTCGCGAAACCCTTGGAAGTAATCGTAAGTATGCAACCAATGAAGACGCTATGGCTTTAGGCGTTTTTGGCCGGTGTCCACTAGACTCTCATCGCTTTGTGTCTCCACATTTCTACCAGTTTCCATGTACGCGTTCTACATCCGGCGACCTCTAAAATATTAAGCTGATTGGTTTAGTATCACTCGCGAAGTTTGGTTGAACACACTGCGTAATAATTATTTCAATTTGTGATGATCCTGCGAACGTTCAACCTGACGTTATTATCAGGCTCTTATTGACCTTTTAGTAATGGGTTAATATCTATACAATGGCCAGATTTAGATCCTAATGATGCATTGTACAAGTCACCTATTACTCGCAGAGAAGACACTTTGGCTGCGCTAGTGCAGGAGCAGTTATAGCTTTCACACTGTATAATTCGTTTTCACTAAAACTCATTACTCAGTCTCGCCTATTTCTCATTTATACCAACTTTGCTTATTCTGCCTCGAATTCATAGTTCTCATTGATGTAGACCCTGAGCACAATCCGAACCAGCAGATTTGATTGGAATTAGTGTCGCCGCGGTGTACCAACAATCTGAACGATCACATAGGGATATTTGTCGTGCCCACTGCATTTTAATTCGCGTACTCCCTGAAGAACATTATCCCGGTCAGAACTTTGGTAGGAAACTCACAGGGGTCTCACTTTGCCCAGCTGTTAGTCCGATGGAAAGTATTCTACATATTTTGATTAATCTACTCTTCTTAATCGGAGACTAACACAATCAAGCGCTTTATTTTGTTCGTTGCGGTTGAAGCTGGTCACAATCTGATCTCACACCATACCGTTTGACGGCGTCGAGAGTTCAGCTCTACTGAATAACAAGCTCAGCATAACATAGTTAGAGGGAAAAGGTTCACTTTTCTTTACATAAGTACAAGTGATTGTTTTGCTGTCTCGGAGCTGTGATGATGGCTGCAGTTTCCAACGATTACTGGTTTCTGTCCGCCAGTGGATTTTGTCATTGATAGATTGTGTGCATTGGTTTGTTGGCAATTGCCAGATAACTGAAGTATGCAATTTTGCTTCTGATTAGTGTGTCTACGTCTCTTGATCGTTTCTTTGACACAATTTCTCTGTTTTCTCCAGCCTTGTTCACTCCATAAGCTAGCATTGTGTCCAGCGCATGGGATCGCTGGCGTACTACGGACAGCGTAAACGTTTGTGCTTTTGAGAAAAATGAATCAGGCACCTCTTTGGACTCACTCGGAAGGCATTACATGTATGATCGATGAGCCATTGTAGATAATAACAGGAGATTTTTATACTTTGTAACGCTGAAACTCTAGGGTCTCAATGAAATACCGCGTATGCTATCCATATGCTTGAGTTTGCCGCATTATCTGTTCTTGTTCATCTGCGGGTACAGCTCAAGCCACAATAGTCGTTCATCGGTGACATGTATCGTAATGTGCACCAGTTAGAAGAGTCACGACAACACGTGCGCCCATACTGAACAAGGTATATGCTTTCGTCTGACATGAAGTCAATATTGGTTTACGTCGTCTTTACGCAGAGTTAGTCAAATGCTACTTAATTGCTGAAATTACAAGAGGTACTGAAGAAAGTCCAATTTGCATACCGTGATTGTTATTCTACTTACAGGCAAAGTATGGGCGCAAAATACAGAATTATCGCAGAGTCCTCAAATGTCGACAGAGTAATATACTGCATCAAAACTCTATGCAAAGGAAACCCTAGGTTGCGAATTCCCCGATCTTACCTAATGAAATACCTTTATCTACTGACGAGATAAGAATATGCGATTAATATTTTTGCAATAGCAAACTGTACAACTTCGCACAGCACTAAGCGAAGTGGTGGATGTCCCAATCCTTAGTCTTTGGCTAGGAGTTCAGTTAATTTTTTAAAGTTTACCTGGATTCTTATGCGGATGAAGATTATGGGCGACGGTATACCTCGAAGCGTATCAGCAGACGCTGATCCTCAGTTTCACTGAATTCCCCGACAACTTTACTGCATCCAAGCATGGGACTGTCTCTGTCCGAGTTCATGGATTTTATGAGTTCAACCATAATCAGGTTCCGGGAGAAAATGCTCCAAGATGATGTATTTGAATGCAAACCAATGAATAGCCAAGCGAACGCCTTCATGTTTTCCGATAATGAACCATTGTTAACCCGTAAGCAAAGCGTACAATTCATTGAAATTCCATGCAACAGCTGAGTGGCTGGTCACACAATTAAAGTATTTTGCCTCAGGTTTGTTCTATGAGTTAGTTTATATTGGCGGAGTCCATGGTCGTGTTGTTTGACCAACCGACCAATAAACTTTGTACTCTAAGCCCTACAAGTTACACATGATCAATGATATTCGAAGGGATCAAAGAGACAGGGACAATCAGCTGAAACTATCCTACGGACCGATTAAACGAGGCTAATAATTGAGATTGGCGGGGTCGATTAGTTAAGTTATCTCAAGCACAACTGTCTCCTTCACTTGGAATCGTCAACACTGCAGCTGAACCTTCCTAGTTTCTTCCCCTTGTAAACAAAAAACGGAAGCCACATAGCTGAGGATGCATTAACTGGTCCAGTGGATTTAGCAGATGCTGTAGGGAGTAATTCAAATGGATAAACGTTAAGCAACTCACCGATAGCCATGCAACCACACACGGTAGCACGTTGTATTCAAAGTGCAGCTGTCCTGAATGAGAATGGCTTGTTTCAGAGGTTGTGTTTTCCTAATGGCCCTCAGGGGCTTCATCAGACCCACTCATGGTCAGTTTCTTACGTTCAAACGACACATCATTTGAACCTCCGTTTCGCAAACGACTAGTTATTTTTACCGTACTGACTGCTTGCGACTTTTAACTCCTAACCATTTAACATAACTTACTGCCTCTAAATACCACAAACGCACCAATTCTCTTGGTCGACTACTGGCTTTCTCTATCAATGGTAACACCACGCCTATTGCCAGTACTGAAGTAACTAATGGGAAACGTACCACGCACCGGCTTGGGAGACGGGGCAGCGTAGAGTAACCATCCGTTTGGAGGTATAGAGAGAGGCTGGAAACTGCTCATACGTAACTATTGAGTGCTATGAGACCGGTGTCTCAGAGTATGTGAGATAAAGTTAGCAGAATTCAGTCCTGTGAGATTGTGCATCGCATACTAACCAGTCTACAAGTTACTTTTCCATAGAACTAGTTGCATTTCGGTGAAAGCTGATTTTTGGATGTTACAGCTAGTCGGGTTTGGAGTTCGGCAGTCTTGTTGGTCAAATAATTGAACGATCAGCTTCTAAAAGGCTGCTGCAGACCCATGTTCATTACGTTATCCACAGGGCTCTTTGCCGCGAGTCGGACCAGTCTTTCTGCAGTAGTCACAAACTGCTCTCAGCTGAACCGTAAGATCAGAACAGTAGTAGCACCATTCGGTGGTTGTAAGTTAACAAACGTCATTCGGGTTTTAAGCAGGTCCAGAAGACTCGCTAGTAAATCTAGTATTAGCTTTCACTCGTTTTGCTCGTTTGCTTCTGGCTTTTATGCTTGCACAGTTAAGATGTTATCATTATCTTCTTCATCAAGTATACCGGAACAGGCAAAGCGCTGTGTTGTCCGTTATTTGATACTTTTTACTTAGTAAAATTTTTTGCCCACCACTTTGTTTCTAACCTTCCGCGTAACGCATTTGGGGCAGACTAGTAATACGGTTTAGTCGTCTTCATCAATTTGTAGGATACGCACATTTAATGTCTAACCAGCAACACAATTCATGCCCAGGGCATAACAGTTACCAACGCTTCGCATGCATGAAAAACCAGTTTAGAAGACAATACGAGTTTTTTCCCTCGGGGAAAACGCAGTTGACAAAAGGTGGACGGAAATATAAGAGTGAGAATATAACGTGGGCGTGAGAATCGCTGAGGCTCACTGCAGCGAAGCTGGGTGAATACATTGCAAGACTACGCAGCCGTTACCAGCGCAATAACCTTTTCGCAAATATAAATCCCCCGGTGCAAATAGGACGGAATGTACAAGTGGGCCAGTTACAAATAAGTTTCTACCATGTTTACTGTGGAATAGCGTATATTCAAGGATAGAGCCAACGGATACGCTTTAAAGTGCCTCAACTAGAGATCTTATG